CCAGTCAATTTGCCGAAATCAAAGCTAAACAACTAGCCCTAGATATTGCAGAGAGAGAGAAGTGGCCAAGGCTCTATTTGTATACTGATTCTTGGATGGTAGCCAACGCTCTATGGGGATGGCTGAAGAGATGGAAAGAGGCGAACTGGCAGCGCAGAGGGAAACCAATTTGGGCTGCGGAAGAGTGGAAAGATATCGCTACTCGGTTAGAGAAGTTACCTGTGAAGGTTCGCCATGTAGATGCCCATGTCCCCAGAAGTAGAGCTAATGAAGAGCAGCAAAACAACCAGCAAGTACATCAGGCTGCAAAGATAGGGGAGTTGAAGATAGATCTCGACTGGGAGCATAAGGGAGAGTTATTCTTAGCACGATGGGCCCATGATGCCTCAGGCCACCAGGGTAGAGATGCCACCTATAAGTGGGCACGAGACCGAGGGGTGGATCTAACAATGGACAGTATCTCTCAGGTTATTCGTGACTGTGAGACATGCGCTGCCATTAAGCAGGCCAAGCGGGTGAAGCCCCTCTGGTATGGGGGGCGGTGGTCTAAGTACAAGTACAAGGAGACCTGGCAGATTAATTACATCACACTGCCTCAAACCCGCCAAGGCAAGCGCTATGTACTAACCATGGTAGAAGCCACCACGGGATGGTTGGAAACCTACCCTGTGTCTCATGCTACAGCCCATAACACTATCTTGGGCCTTGAAAAGCAGGTCCTTTGGAGGCACGGTACTCCCGAGAGAATTGAGTCGGATAATGGAACTCATTTTAAAAACAATCTTATTAATACTTGGGCTAGGGAACATGGCATCGAGTGGGTGTACCATATCCCCTATCATGCACCAGCTGCAGGGAAAGTGGAAAGGTACAATGGATTGTTAAAAACCACCTTAAAAGCATTGGGTGGGGGGTCTTTAAAAAACTGGAAGCAGCATTTGGCAAAGGCTACCTGGTTAGTTAACACTCGAGGTTCCACCAACCGAGCGGATCCTGCTCAGTCTGAGCTTCTTAACATAGTAGATGGGGATAAAGCCCCAGTAGCCCATGTCAAAAGTTTGTTGGGAAAAACAATATAGATCAACCCTGCCTCGAGTACAGACAAACCCATCCGTGAGATTGTCTTTGCTCAAGGACCAAGTTATACATAGTAAATAATGCAGAAAGATAGAACAACACAATGTGTACCTCAGGGAGACCTGATTGTGAGATGAGACTCATATATGAATGTCATTGTTTGTTAAATGTGAGACAGAAGGAAACTGTAAGTGTCAAAGGTCTGAGCAAGTAAGATGAAAAGAATGTGTAAGTGTCAAAGGTGTGAGTAAGTGAAATGAAAGTTTTTTATTGTATGTTCACGATATTGGGATAAGGAGTGGAGTGTCGTGGGGTGACAGCCTTTATCCCAATATCGTGTGTTGTGTCTGGCAGCTGCGCCTTCTCCTCCCCCGGCCGTCTTGCCGCGGCAGAGTGGTCTCTTGCTTCTGCAGAGATCTCAGGTTGTTTAGGTGCTTGTGAGCCATGGCAATGACCATCATGTGAAAACATTGCTGAAATCAAACAGCTGTCTGTTTCCATATCAGGCTCCCAATTCACATGGATCTTGGCAGTCCCAAGGACAGTTTTTGAGAAGTGAAGCATCTGTGAAACAAGAAACTAAAACATGTGGGGTTTTCTTCTCAAAAGAAATTAAGAAGAGTTAACTTTCTCCTAAACTGGGATGATTCCTCTTCCCAAAGAACTTTTTTTCACAAATATTTAATCTTAAACAGCTTTGAGGAGAAAGGGGAATAAGTTACTGTTATAAATGAAAATTGCGAGTCAGCCAATTTTAATTTTATTTTTAATATGAAAAATAAAATTTATTTTGCGACCGTAATAACAGTCCGATAGCCACCACCAAAAACGGACAGCGTATCACCCCCGGTCGATGATACGGGTGAACGAGAGGAAAGCACCCCCTCACTGGTGCCTTGACCTCCCCGTCCACACCAACTGCTTCGAGGTAGCAGTTCTTATACAGTTTATTTCGCCCGCGGCAGAAAGTCTTTGTTTCTTTCGGAGTTCTTCATATTCATGTTGGTATCTTTCTCTGGCTTGGGCTGCACAAAGCCTTCGTCTGGGAATAGAACGATGCACTTCCCTGGTTCCGGAATCTGGCATTCAGATTCAGGGTGATGATGATCCTGGCCCCCCCCTCAGATAGGCATCTCGTCTGGGCCATCAGCACCTGGCGTCTTTGGGCGTAGGTGCTGTTGAATGCTCATCCTTGGTGCAGCTGGAGTCCTCTTTGGATGCAAATGCCGCGATATCCATCTGCCGTGGGTCATCTGGCCAAGAATTCCCAACCTGAAGGAAAAAGGGATTCTTCCTCCCCGCCTCCGCAGTTTATTTTATACACTTATATTTTATACAGTGTTTATTTCCACAAATTACTAATTACATTCCTAACAGTTAATAAACAGGTTTTGTTTTCCACTGTGCTCCTCCGAGGAATTCCTTCCCGAACCTGGTATTGGGGGAGGGGTGGTTGGTTTTTTTTTTTTTAGGGGGCTCCCTTTTGGAGATTTCCCCTAATTTGTCCTAAACCAGGACAAAAGTGCACTCCAGTGGAAATAGTGGCAATTTAATTTGAAGACCTTTATCTCTTCCTCTCTCGTTTTTTTTGGTTTTTGTTTTGCTGTAATGACCAAAGCAAAATTTGTTCATGGTTGCCTTTCCAGCCTACATCTAGTTGTCTGAACTTTATTCCAGAATTATTTTCTTATAAAAGAATGAGTCCTGAGAAGGGAGATGTGTAATAAAGGTGTTGTCGTACTGTGTGCTTGGAAACAGGATGTACTGACATTTTATTAACAGCAGCAACAAACAGATGTTTTGGACTATTACTGTTGTGCTCATTAATGTTCTTCTGTGTCCTAGAAAGGAATTGTCTATCACTGGCCATCTCTAGTTGTTAAGTAACAGTGCTGTCTTTTGCAGGAGATATAGTGTTCATTTAGCTTTGAAACATCTTTGTGGTTTTTAAAATGACTAGAAATGTGTCCTTGACTGCTGCCACTTAACTTCATACGGAGTTACTGCATGAGGCCTCTGATCCCTCACTTGACCTCTTGAGCACCTAGGGTGAATGTAAAACATGTGACATCAAGTAAAATGAGTATGCAGAAAAGCAGTTCTCTCAGCTGTTAAAGTGTCCAAGTGAAAATGGAGCTGCTGTTGTTAGAAGTCATGATTCATATCTCATTCAGGAAACTCATGTGACAGTATTTTGTGAATTGATTTTGAAGCCAGCATTGTGTAAGGTGACTAAGTTAGTCAGGTCTGTCAGTTTTTGAAGTGCCAAGAGTTGTCTTGAGCGCTGTGAAGTTTTGATGGGCCCAAACCTGCAGACTGCACTTACAGGATTACTATGGATTTACCAGGTTTACCAAGAGCTTTGCCAGATTCCAGCCCTAGCTGCTGGATCAGAGCACCAAAAAAGTCAGTTATCATCACATAGAATGGTAAAGAAGAGTTACAAAAATAACCTAACTAGTCCAGACTTCTTTAAAAAATAAAAAAATCATCAACAGGAAATTGTTACAAAATCTTTCATCTTCCTGACTTCTACATTTTTCATATTCACTAGAGTTAACAAATTGCTTTAAAATTAAGTGAAACTTCTGTTTGTTCAGGGATGCCTTTGACATTTACATGCTCTTAATGGCATGTAACAGTAAACACCCATTAAAATGAGAGCAAATTAAGTATCATTCCAAAATAATTCATGATAGACATTAGAAAACCAATTGGCTTTTTATCCTGCCTCAAAAATTCCATTAGAAATAAGGCAGTTAAGAGAACATCTGCAGGAAATTGTCTGTGACAATTAATTTCTTCATTCCTTAAAAAGTGATTGCTATGGATGCCTCATATTTGCATTGTTTGGTGCATTGTCTGTCTGGATGTATGGTAAATATATATGCGTGTGTGTGTATACAAGTACTTTTCTAAATAGCTAGTTTAAATACTAAAAATGTCTTTACAAAGTCAGTTTTACTTGTGATGCTGATTGGATTGAGCCATCTACTGATGGTAAGGCAGTAGTAAGCTGGATTACAGTTTTTACCCACCTCTGATTTATACACAGAAAATGAAGTGATTGAAGTGCAGAGAACAGACCAGCAATTGAAGTACCTGTTGTCTAGTGGGCTCGGTGTGTGAGCCTGGATATCTTGTGTAGCTGGTCCTCACGGAACTTCTTTCTCTGTGAAGTAGAAGTTCTGGGTTTCCCAGAATCTCAGAACCATTAGTGTTGGAAGGACCTCTGGACATCATCCAGTCCAATCTCCCTGCCAAGGCAGGGTCACCTAGAGCAGGTGACACAGGAACATGTCCAAGTGGGTTTGGAATGTCTTCATGCTTCTCTGAGCAGCTTGTTCCAGTGCTCTGCCACTCTCAGCATAAAAAAGTTCTTCCTCATGTTCAGGTGGAACTTCTTGTGTTTTAGTTGATGGCCATTGCTCCTCATTCTGTCTCTGGGCACCACTGAAAGGAGTCTGGCACCATCCTCTTAGCACCTGTCTTTGAGATATTTTCACTTATTTAATTGTAAAAATGTGGTTTTGACTAGTAGAAGATGGTGTTTGCAGCATTGTTCACCACTTACAGAATTGAACAGGCAAAAATATACAAAGAAATCTAATACCTGGGTTTTTCCTTTCCACTAAATTGCTTGTATGCATGGGGGTAGGTAGCAAGAGCTCTCTAAATGAACTTGCATATGTGGATTCCCTTCAGCTACTTGTTGAAGATAAATATCAGAGTGGAGCTGATTCTATCTGCTTTCTAGTAAAAAAGTTGGTATCTTTGAATTTCTTGACATAATTTCTTCCCCTCCAACACTCACTGGTGCTGTAGAAACATTTTGCCTTTTTTTTTTTTTTTCTTTTTTTTTCTTTTTTTTTGCATTCTACCATTTGTGTTGTGTTTGCCAGCACTTGTCTTTCCTGGCTGCCAACAGCCAGGTGCTATTTGCATCTCTCTATCATCTCCCAAATCTGCCTTTCTCTCTTTGACTCCTCCAGGATTTCTTTTCACCTTTCAGCTCTGGTTCTCCAGATATTTATTTGCATGTTGTTTCTAGGACACTTTCTGTTGGGATGGGAAAAAGATTGTGAAGGTAACCTGAAGATCAGTGGGGTAGCAGTGAACTTCACTTGCCTTGGTTAATCACAAGTTAAAATTTATAGTGCTGAGATATAGGCAAGTGCAGGGTCTCTGCTTCTCCGATCTTATTTGTGAGTTTAAGTACAAGCTGTTGATCAAAATCAGATACATTTAAGACCTGGATGCTACTGTCTGCTGCTGTGTTTCACAAACGGAGATCCCACATGCTGTTAGTCAGTGGCACTGTTAGATTTCGCAGTAGAATGAATGTTTCAAGGAACCTGTCTCCCTCTAGTTGCAGAATGGTTTTTTCAGAGAAATCTTTGTGCTGTTATTGGATACTCTGTTTATGCTACTGGGATTAATGTTAAACTAAGCCCTTTCTGTATACTTGGTTGTCCAAACAAAGATTGTGTGATCAGTAAGAGTAAAGGAGAAAAAGCAGTCTCCTCAGAAAGCTGAAGACTTTGTTGTGGTAATTGCTCTGTACAGATTTTCATGCTCTTTCACTCACATCCATTTACAGTGGAAACTTTTGAGAAAAGATCTGCCTGCTATTCTGTGAATTTATGGTCATTGCGTGGTGGCCTTGTCCTCAAAGTTCAGAAAGCATAACAGAAATATGGATGTTTTTACAGAAGAAAAAAAAAATGCTACTAGTTCTGCCTTCTTCCTTCGAAAGAGGCCACTGTAGAGATTTCTTTCCTTGCTTAAATACCCAGTGCAATCCCTTTTGTTGTTTGCTGCTTTGTTTTCCTTTTTTTTAGCTGTACTATATAAACTCATAAGTGAAGTTGCAGATTTTCTTGCTAAGAAGTCTTGCAGATTACTGCCTCGCTAATTCCCCCCACCCCCCGCCTCCTTGTCATGCATTTTAATTCAGATCTCATGGATATGGAAACATTTTCCCTCTGTCTGTTAAAATTGTGTCTGATTTAAAGAATGCAACAACTAAACATAATCTTTTGCTTTGTGTTGGTACGGAAGCCTTAGACTGTAGAATTTGGGGCAGTACTGCAAAGCAGATAACAATAACAATAAGCAGTCCTTAAATCCAGTTAATCACGCACCTATTTGTAAGAAATTTGTTTTAGAGGACATGCAGATTAATCTCTTTCTTCTGTCCTGGAAACATGGAAGCTTTCAACATCATTTCCTTATACAATGAATGTAGAATGGGGGAGTTAAAATTAGTTGGGAGATGAACTGTGTCTAGTGAGTGAGGCATGTATTTGTTGAATATATGGAGAGGGAGATAATGTTAGAAAACAGCTTTATGTCAGTTCTAATAAAAAAAAAAAGTGCTGCAAAATATATTAACAGTTATGTTGTAGTTCTAAATAGCTGCCTAAATATGAAATGCTAGAAATGCCAGAAACTCTTAATGTACTGATTTATTATGGTGCCAGCTTGATACCCACATGCTACAAGAAGGCCCCTGTTAGATGGTAATGAAGTTTATATATAGAGGAAGAGTGCCCTGACCTGTGCTTGCTTTGACATCAGAACAATACACTAACTATTTTGTGAATATTCCCTGACATATCCAGCAATGCTGTCCTATAAATACCTTTCAATTTTTCAGCAGCTACTAAGTGTTTTTCAGCCTAGATTCTATATCAGGTTGGGTTTGTATGACCTTGGTCATATAGTGAATTTAATAAAAAAATATGATAGTAGGACAAAGGAATGACAATTTGAAAGCTGGTGAAGTAAAGGAGTAAGTATGCTCGCTGTCAATCTGAGTTGTGACCAGAAGGAGCTTTGCTCTTAGCTATGTGAGAATGTTATCTCCTCATGTGAGAGCAACTGCACTGTGTCTAATGACAGCAATGAGAGAGCTGCTGGAAAAAAGCTTGAATGAGCTGACCTTCCTAGCTGTGCTTTGTCTCTGAGAAAGCCTGCTCTTCTAAGTGTTTAAATGAACAGATGTGTGTTGAGGGTTGTATCTCTGGTTGCAAGAGCTGTACTTTCTACATGCTTGGTTATGTGGGCTCCATTGTTTTAATCTAGTGTTTGTTTTGAAAAGTGTTCTGCTGTGTTATTTAATTTTATTTATTCTACAACAAGAAAAAAATGCCAACACCTTTTAGAAAGTGACTTGAGTCAATAATGAATGGAAAATTTGATTCTGCTACAAATAAACTCTTTTACAGTTCAACACAGGAGCTTTCTTAAAAGTTCCTTAGGTCAGTTTATGTAATGCTGGCTGTATGTTTAAAGAGTTCACAGTCTTTAGCTCAGGACATGCTTCTTCAGTTAGCCTGTTGTTTTAAATTTTAGGAACCAACACAGTTAAGAGAAAGCCTTCTGCCTAACATGTGATTACTTTCTTTGGTTTTTTCCTGTTTGGAATAAAAAGCAAAGCAAAAAAAACCCAAGACCCAAACACGGATATCTAAGCAATAAATAACTGCTCCAAACATAAGATATGCACGAGAAGTAATGATTTTCTTTCTGTGTTCATGCTTTTGGTCGCAGAGGAGGAATTATTTAGTAATTTATCCATATTCAATGAAACATGTGTGAGATGGCAAAGGAAAACTGGAAGACTGGGAGTGCAGGAAACATACACAGTAAGTAATAATGGACGTATTTGAGTTTGGGGGTAACTTTGTCCTGGTTATATCTGCTGATTCAGCAGTGGATATTTGTATTGTGAGTTTTGTTGGTATGGCAGTTTGTCTCAATCTTCCCAGTGGAGCACCAGGAGGTGACTGGCTGTGTTAGGAAAGAAGAAAATTCCTGTCCTAAAGGTAGGTGAAAAACTCAGGGTTCAGGGTCTCATTCCAGTAAATCACCTAAATGCCTGCTTGAATCTGTAAGAGGTTCAGCATAAGTTTATGTTTTAGTGAAGTTCCACTGAAGAGCTCAAGCTCACATTGCCACAGAAAACACTGCAGAACTTGAGCTCTGTCCCTGTCTTTGACAAGCATCTCAACTGGACTGTGTCTCACTTGCAGATACGGGGTATAACATGTCTTAAAAATGCAAGGTATGTTGAAATAGTGTGCCTTGCTCAAAAGTTTCAACTAATATATATCTGAACATTTTAGAACAATTTTTCTTGGAAATTTAAAACAACCTTTTGTAAGGACTGGGTTTTTGTCTCTCTCTCTTTTTTTTAATGTATATGAGCATAAGAACAAAACTTAAGGCATAAATTCTCAGAAACAAAAGTTTGGTCAGTGTTATTGAAGGCCAAAACAACATGATAAGAATTTCCATGTTTTCACAATAACACCCCAAGAAAGAGGTTTTTGTGTGTGTGTGTGTGTGTTATTTGGTTTTGATTTTTTTCCTTTTTTTTAGTACATACAAGTAAGGAAAAAAGTAAAAAGGATTGTTTAGGGTGTCCAGGGTAAGTACCAGACACCCTAAATGTGGAAATGTGGAAAACATTTCAAGGTTGGGTAATAATTTTGGAAAACAACCATCTTTCTCCTCCTATGTTATAACCAAAGTATTTTTAGTTTGTATACTCTTATTGAGCACTGCTGAGATTGAAAACACAGCCTCCCAGTTCCCCTGATAGGTCAAAACTGTTTTTTATGTAGCCAATGGTAACTTGCAGGCTGTGGATCTCTGGTATAATGTGCCCTCTTCACATGCTTTTCCTGAATTCTGCCATCTGAAAGACACTTCAGAATAGCCAGAGAAGGTGAGCTTTGTCGGTCCCTTCATGTCATACAAGCAACAGCTTTCTTTTTCACTGCACTGGGACAATCTTAGACAAACTTGTCTACTGTTTGGCGTTCTGTCTTACTACTGCTTCTGTGGGGCAAGGGGGGAAAACTAGCAAAAGGGAAAGAAAGTAACAAGTAGATGCACTTTTTGTCTGTGTGCTGTAAACAAGAAACAATATTTGCTCTCACATTACAATTTGAGATGGAGATCTTTGTAGGATCTACAATAGATTAGGTTCCTAATATATTGGATTAGATTTCATAATAGGTTCCTTCTATCTGTTGTAGAAATATATGTAATAATATGAATAATTTTAACAGCCAGAAGAACTAAAGATCTAGTTTATTAAGACATCCCATAGCTAGTAAAAAACCCATATATTTTCCTTGAACTGATACTCTAAAAGAGATGTAATCCTGTATTCCCTTTAAGAACCAATAGGATCAAATAAACTAATATTCTGAATTTTTGAGAGCCACAACAAATTGCACTATTGTCTTTGTTTCAACAGTTTCATATACTGGGCCAAAGATTGGATGAGAAGATATTCTCAGAAGATGTGATATTTAACATCAGTACAAGTGAAGATAATCCAAAGGTGTGTTTAGATCTGGACTCTGGAAGTAACTACATGGTGAATATAACCACCATTTCTTCTACAAACATCACTGTCTCAGTTACAGTAGCAATTCAGACAAAGGGTAGGTTGTGTTTTGTATTCTATCTGCTTATAAAAGAACTTACTGTCCTGCAGAGTTCACTGATTTGAGTCTGACAGGAAAAGGGGCTGTTCCCTAGACTTTATAATTCTTTATGCTGGCTAAGTGCATGTAGCCACTGTCAGCATCCTCTTTTTCTGCTAGATGTTTTTGTTTCTACTCACTTGGCCATTGACTCTATGAGCAAGGACAGCAGTGTCAGAAAGTACCCCTCAGAAAGATTTGGCAAATTTGGTTTTTCAGGACTTGCCTTCTGGCTGAGGCAGGATTGGTACAGAATTTTGGTCCATGATACAGTGCCTACTGGTTTCTATTTTTTGCCTTGAAATATTGTTCTCTGCCTGTAGGAGAATTCCCTGTTGCTTGGCTATGTGATACTAATCTAAGTGGTATGAGCATTACAGACAATGCTGCTGTGTTTACCAGTGATTAACAGGGTTCTGGCACTTATCAGTAACTGTACAGAAGTCATGTTCTAACAGTGGATTTCTGTAGTATTTTAGTCGTGGAAACTTTAGGCTTGTCTTCTGACATACTAATTCTGGTGAGACAGACCTTGAGAAATAATTGCTTTTGGAATTCAAAAAATGCTTTTGCTCATGTGCTTTTTCCTAAAGGGCATCAACTATGACAAATTGTTCTGTGATAATTTTATTTACATCAGGATGCCTGAACCCTTGATATTTCTGTCATTATAACCTTCTAGACCTGTAAAGTAGCAAAGTAAAAGTCAATTGTGTGTTAGATTTCCTGAACAGCCTGCTTGGGTTTTTCCAAAAGCTGATTTCCCTGAAAAATGATCTTTACTTATCCTGTTTGTTCATTCAAAAAGAAATTATAGCCTACCTCTCTGTCTCAGAAGTGAATGAAATTTAAAACTTTTTAAAAATTTTATTCTCTGCTACTCATATTCAATTAAGTTGAAGGAGGTAGAGTTTTTTAAGTAAGTTGATCTCTTTTTAATTGTCTCTACAGTAAAGGAAGCTTTCAATAATGTATTAGTTTTTAATGATACCTGCTTGAAATGGAGGAGAAATGTCAGGGGAACTGATGTGGAAGACAAATACTCAGTAAGTGACAACCTCTATTTTGAATCTAGAAAACAATTTTTATCAATCAAAAACCTAATTTTCAAATACCGTTCACAGTGTTCCTTATAATAATGTCTCAAAAAACCAAAGAAAGACCATGCTCTCTTGTAGTCCCCTGTTTATTGCTTATTTTTCCCATATTAACTCTTAATCTGCTCTTCTTATCTGTACTTTCAAATTTGCCACGTTCAGGCAAACAATTCACACAACTCTATTCCAGTTCCACTGAGTCAGTTCTCTTTGCCTTGTGGGATGCCTTCAGTCTGCCCTTATCCCAGTGGGGAATTCCTACATGAGCTGCTTCTGCCAGGACTCTTGACCACCTGCTGTTGTCTCAAGTTTCTCTGTGCCAGGAGACAGTAAGAGATTATCTGAAGGCATAGGATCTATTTAAAGGAAACTTAATGAACAATTCATATCCAGCAAGCATTTTTGTTTTCATTAACAGAGAAATCATTTGATCAGGAGAGGCCTTGAGTTACTGACTTCATGATCATTTCAGTCATCAACAATAAAACAGGGAATCCTAGTGAAACAAAAAAGAAGAACCCATGAGCCTGTAAATTTCCCTGGAGATATAGGTGTCTGTCGACAGATCCCAGAGTGTAGCTGGCGTTTTGACATGGGTCAAAGTGACTTGATTTTGTCTTGATCCTCAGGGTGAAACAAGAACTGTTCACATGAGCTTACTTTTACAATTCACCAGGAGGGTATACTTCAATAAAAGTGAGCCGTTACTGTGAGCCTATATGCTAGCAGGAAATATGGTCATGGGGAAATTAATAAAAAAGAGGCTAGACTAGGAAGAGAAGTGAAAGAACCAGGAACATATCAGATCTGATCAAGACTTTTAGAAGGATTGGAATTTGAGTAACTGTCAATGCCTACAGTTTTGACACATCATAAGCAGTGCTCTCTTCTGCTGTTTCTCTTAATTAAGAGCATGAGATGGCTGAATGCAAGTATTGTATTATAACATTTCAATTTTCATGCTGTGATTGTTTTGTTACAGTTTCATGTGCAAGGCCAGCGTTGGTATCAGAAGAACTTCCTTCATGAAATGACCTTTGAACTTTCCACACATAAGCAAGCCCCTGAAGTTTGTTTAGATTTGCAACCAGGCACCAATTACTCTATTAATATTTCCATGGTAGCTTTGAATTTTTCACTGCTTGTTTCCATGACAACACAAATTACAGGTAGGTCTTGCCATTTATTTTATATATTTACAAAAGCACCTAGTGGGTGTAAGAGACTCGAGTGAATCTGCATTGTTGATCTCAGTGTTGTGTGGTGGGTTGCCAAAGTATTCTTTTCCATGCTCAAAACTGTCCATTGTTTGTTTTCATGGGTTTTGTAGAGTTCAGAACCAGAAGGAGGAGAAAAATTGATGTGCAGAGTGTTAATGCGTATTGTGGGACATCAGGGAACAGACAGTTTGGTGGGTTGAACACAAGACAAGTATCTAGGACAGCTGGGTTAAATTCCCCACCCTGTTAGAGGCTGAGGCTTTTTCTTAGGAAAAACTTCTCCCCACAGTGGAGTTAATAGCTCAACTGCACTTTGCATGGGTATTTGTGACAAAAGAAACAGATATCACTAAAGTCTGCAAGAATCCAAAGTAAAGTACAGGAATCTGCAAGTACCTCATGCAGATACTTTTGACTCTGACTGGCAGAGTGCAAAACATAAGACATTTGAGCAAATAAGCTTCTGAAGGAAGAGCCTTGGGTTCACAAGTTAGCAAGACGTATGTCACTAAAATGCCATGATGAGAAACATTTTATGGGTCTTGATTTGCATAGAACAGTTTTCACCATCTCTGTGCTGCCAGAATCTCTGTATTAGGTGAAGTGCAGTGCAGTGTTTGATGATGGTAGCTCTATTCCTGTCAGGGACACAAATTATATATAATAGGTAAGGAACATGAAAGTTCTCTGAGCATCTGTAACTCGGTTCAGCCACTAGATGGAATCAATTCTCTTCTGACTGCTTAAGAAGAGCTGGAGACTTGTGTTTTGAAATTGAAAGTTTTGCTGTATTTTCAATAGTAAATCTGATGGTTTTAAGCTTCATGAAAGGTAAAACATCTCTTGTTTCTTAAAACTGCTGTTTAAAATATACAATTACCTGTTTGTTTCTTTTTTTTTTTTTAAAGAAATTACAGTAATGATTTGGTAATTCCTTTTCACTAGTTTCCTAATTGTCACTCAAAAGTAGTGCCCCTGCGTTCATGAGTACATGTGTCTTTGTTTGAAAAGCTAGTAAGATATCTCAAAATTTTGTTGATAGTGGTAATTTTGGAATACATACTCAGAGAAAAGGAAAAGCTTTTTACTCTGTCATCCTGTGGTATTTCCTCAGTTCTGCAGGATTGCATCAGGTCACTCACTCAGCAGAGCTCTAGAGAACACTTTGCAGCAGGTGCTGTATGAAATGGGATTTGTGTCTTGGCAGCTGGCATATTTTCCTCCCTGCTGAGTTAGTGCTTAACAAAAGTGTCTGCATGGCCCCAGGAAAGGTCTTTGCATAAAAGTTAGGTTATTTCCATTTTGAAAGGAGATTTTACTATGCAAACCCGTTTATACCTGGTAGTTATCTTACGCAATAAGCAATAAAAGACAGGTGTTGTTCTGTCATATTAGGAGTCTTTATCAAAAACTTGGTGTGAAAACATTTCTTATTTTCTGACTTCCACTGAAAAAACATAAAAGTATGTATTTTTGAAGTTTTTGCAGAAATTACAGAAAATTTAAAAGACAATAATGATCTTGTGGCAAAGCCTGCCAAATAATGGAATTTAAATAAGATTAGTTGTGTTGTTACCTCATCTAAGATTAAAATGATCCACCTGAAATAATTCTTCTGGCCATACTGCTTTGACTTCTGAGTCTTATGTCTTGGAATTGTGTTACCTGCGCAAGTAGCTTAATTTATATAAAAAACTATAATTTAAACTATTATTTAAACTATTTAAACTATTATTTTCATCTTATTTTGTTCAGTTATTTTGTAATCATATATGCATTTTCCATGGTGGATGGAATGATCTCAATTTATCTGCCAAATTAATTCTGAAAAGTGGCTTTATTAGCTCTCTTGCTTTTCCTGCTAAATGGTATTGTAAAAATACAAGATATGCCTTAAGCACAGTAGCTCTAGGGAAACTGAGACTTACAAAAGTGTTTTACTGATTATGTTCTCATGGGTTGTTTGAGGTTTCATATGCCATTCTTGAAGAGGTACATGATCACTTGGTCGGTAGCCACAGCTGGAAGTAAATCCAGATGTTGTGTCTCCTTGACTTTTACAAACCTTCTACATTTTGAGAGTTTGGAAAATCTTAACTGTGGAGTTTTGAAGAGACGTGTGAAGAGACATGTCCCAGACAATTGGATGATCACTGCCTTACAGACCTAATTTCCTGACAAGGATAGTGATTGTGTAAATTTTTAGACTGTTGCAGAATACAATAAGTATGTAAATGCTAACAGTAAGTTTGGGTATTTTTTCAAAAAACCAAGATTTGTGAATGCTTGTAATGGAAGTTATTTCTATATCCTGAACATCTATATCTATGCCTATATTCATCCTGAATGAGGATACATTATATGAATATTATTTCTAAAGAAAAAAAAAAAGGCCGAGAACTTGGATCTAAATACCTGTTTTTGTACCCGACAAGTATCATCCTCTAAAAAAATAGTTTGGTCTGAGCACAAAGTTGGTTTTGCCTGTCATCTTGTGGATGGTAAATGTAGTCTAGCAAATGCTTCATGGATCATTGTAACAGGCATCTTGAACAGTCTTTTATGTTAACTTATTTTAAAGAAGCTCTCACCACTTGTCTACTGGAATTAGGAAATGGAGTCAATTATCAAAAATTATTAGGCAGTGATTTTATTGTAGCTGTAAAAGGATGGTAGCAAGATTGTCTTTTAAGCAAGGAATCCCATGTCCCTTTCCAGAGAAGGAGTGTCTTGTGGGCATACTTGTGGTTATACTACTTTCACATGGCTCTGTTCATTTTCCTTTTGGAATATCCTTTACTAAAGTATGCTCTGGTGAGGCACTGTTCTTAATTTCACTATCGGTTTTTACATATGAAATGAAGATGATTGAACCATTTTGTAACCATTTTTCAAGTGTTTGACAAACAGAGTAATAAATAAGGAGCTAGGTCTATTTTACTTTCATTGCTAGTGTTCTGAATAATTCTTTCAGTTCAGCCACACTAAAATTCAATTGATATTTGAATCTGGTTTTGAGCTTTGCTTTGGGTAGATTCTTTATGAAAACTCTGGTGGTTTGGGGGTTCATGAATGCCTATGTGTTTACAGAGTCTGGTTAGCTTTTTTTTTGGTTTAGAGCAGACCACTATGACTTAAGATATAGTATGACCAAAAGTATTTCTGGACACTAGAAACAGATCTTTTGTGCCTGAGTTACTGATTATATTTCCTTCTTGTAAAATAATTAAAATTAGGTTAAATTAGGATTTCTCATTGCTTTTCCTGGTCTTTACTTTCTGCTTAGAATCAAGCTGTATTTTCAGTTTGCTTAAGGCTTACTATTCACACATGCTGCAATTCCTTACATATTTGTAAATGTACTTTCCAGGGGGTTTGAGTAGGCTTGACCTTGAGTCTGTGTACCTCAGATTATTGTAGTACTTCCTGTGTTTCTCAGCTGCTATTATTTTTGGTTTAGCCCAAGATTAACCTGCAGGCCACGTACTCAGGTATGTCTCATCTCTGTCTTCATATGAACATGTGAGTGAGAAAGTAGACTCACAAGACGAGAGTCTAGAAAGTTACTTGAATAAGGAGAATGTATTCCACCATATACTAAGAATAATCTTCTAGAGCCCATTGTCTTGGTGTGTGGAAAATGTACTACATTACAGATTAGACTGTGATGTCTAATTTGTTCATCTGCCTATGGATGTACACATGCACATAAAAGATAGACTATTGTTCTGATCTGATGTAGGATGGAAAACATTTGTACTCATTCTTTCATGAAGGAAGTTCTTGAAGGTATGGAAAAGGAGGGGAAACCCAAAATCTACTTTCTACTGAGGAAGTGAAAGACTTTTGGAGGTGTGGTGATCTCACAGCTCTCATTCTGAGAGCACCAGGGCACCAGCATCATGTACCTCCAGAGAAACTATCTAGTAAACTGTGCAGCATCAGAGCACGAGAATTGCCAAGAAGGGAGTTTCTGATTTTTGTAATGAGGGAAGAGTAGTGATGAAAACATGAGCATGATAACTTTTTTTTTTACATGTAGGGGGAAATTAGCTGCCAGACATGTAAATTATTTCATACATATACATACACTTCATATTTTTGTGCAGAGATTATTTAAATGCATGATAATTAAGTTCATATGAAAACCACTTTGCTATAATTTTTCTGAACTCCTCCATAGTAAGAATTTTTCATGAGTCTCTGTGAACTCACGAACATTCAGATAATTTTCCTTATTCTGTTTACAAAGCAATTGATACTGGTGACACAGTCTGTGCTTTACTGCCAGAGTTCTATTCCCCTTGCCAGTGCTTTGCAAGAGGAATAGAACTCTGATTTCCATACTGTTTGCTTTGGGTGGGTTGCTCACAGAAGAGAAACAATGAAAAGTAAACATTTGTCTTCTGTCAAGCTTTCTAGTTGAAAGCACCAAAAGCACCTTCCTGAGTTTTCCCTGACCAAATTTTCCTCCTCTCCCATGGCCAGGTAGTGTGAGGTGCCTTCATCTTGGTGTATGTGAACATATGCATATGTGGCCAGTCTCCTGTGCCACACATCCCATTAAAGCGGTTCCAAGTCGTGCAAAGGACACTTGGACAAAGTCCAGGAGGACGAGAGAGCTGCAGAGTGCTGAGTTAAGGCAGACGATGTAGGAAATGGCTGGCACTGTAAGCCTGGGTGCTCACCCTGAGAGTCAGGACAGTGCTGCACCCCTCTGCTTACCCAGGCAAGGTCCTGTCATCAGCTTAGCAAGTGTGAGCACCGTCCCAGACCAGACCTCTTTCTGGGGTTAGGAGGCTGTCATGCCAGGTCCCCTCATGTGGAAGGACCAGGCAGGCCCCTAACCCAAACACCCTGAGCCAACAGCACCGAGCTGCCAGACCCTGAACATCTCCCCTTGGGTCTGCAGAGCAGCACATGTCAGCACTCAACACACCTCAGCTTGC